TAGCAAAAATAAATATTTATTCAACTCGTAAAATTAGATTTCAAATTAGCCAATGTTAACAATGCTAGACAACAATTAATTAAAGGGAAATTTGCTAAATTGACTCAGTTTGAATTAGTATTTTGTAAATTAATCTTCTACCTATGATTTTTTGTTTTAATAACATTTGCTATTTTCATATCCCAATTTTAACTTTCAAATTGAATAAAAATAATTTTTTTACAAAGTTTTTTGGAATATATCAATTGAAAGAAAATAGAATATTCATTTATGGAAATTTCTTTTTTAACATACATAAAATTAAAAAAAAAAGTAAAATTGTTAACATACAAAAGAATAAAAAAAATTTTAAAAACTATATTCTCTCTCTCGCCACATCCGAGATCTAAATTCTTTTTTTTTAAATATTAAATGTGTTTTTTCCAAAAAATTTAATATTAAAAAAAAATTAATATTTAAAAAAAATATTAAAATGTGTTTTTTTTTCCAAAAACACATTAAAAATAATTATAAAAAGAAATAACAAAAAAAAAACGAATGTGGAAGTAAATATCCGAAAAAAATATTTTTTAGAAAGTAAATATTTAATGGTCCTAGATTTAGGGGATTTAAACTACTTTTGGTAGTTTAGATTTTCTACCATTTGGTAGAAGATAGAGAAAAAGGTAGATAGAATGAGTAAAATATGTATTTTGTCTGGCGTAGATAACAAAGTTATTGGAAGAAATTGCATTATGCAACTGGTAGTACTAAAGCAAATGGTGGAATGTACAATCTGCGATATGTAGAACTTGAACAATTAGTAGAATACTTCATTCTACCACTCGTAGATTTATACAAATTCGCAGAATACCTAATCTACTAGTAGATTCGACCATGGTAGAAGCAAAAATAAATAATTTGTTGTCATTGTTTTTTAGAAAAAAAAAATTATACATGAATCTATATGCCTTGTGTATGACTTTTTTGTATTTTTCTGATTTTATAAAATTATAAAAACTATGTATTTGTAATTTTCGAAATTAATAGAAAGGTAATTTAGAAAAAAGTTGGCAAAAAAAAAACAAAGTTATTTTGTAAAACACTAATTCAAACTGATTAAATTTAGCAAATGCCTCTTAATTAAATCCAAGCCCGATTTTTCATATTAGAAAATAATTGAAACCCTAACTTTTTGAATCGTGTGATACAAATCACAAAATTCATCGATTCACTTCGATAAATCCGTTAAATTTTGATTACTTTTTGTTAGACTTCGATTACAATTTGACGTTCGTGATTAATTAATTTTATCTTTTTCACTCATGACGTTCATAGATGAGTTTTCACTCTGGTTCTATTTATTGGGTTTTCTGAGGCCCACATAGGCCCATACTTGTTTAATGAAATTGGAGATAGAGAAAATGTTATTTTTTTTTTATTTCACTTGTACATTTCCATTTTGGGATACTCTCTGGTTCAGAGTTTTTCAAAACTCTCTGCAAAAAATGACGTTAACGAAAACAGCTTTACGACTATGACTTTGAGATTTGAAAGACTAGGGTCATTTTGGTCATTTTTGAGTTACCCTCATTCTCAGTCACACAAAACACATTTTGCTTGAAGTACTTTCTCCAAAAGCGTGAAGACTCCATAAAAGCAAAGAGCTTCTTTCTTCATCTCCCAAATCCAAGTCTCTAGGTGTAGTGAAGAAGATGGAGTTCAACGAGTACGGCTTTTCTCCTTTCCCAGATTTTTTCAGAATCTACAACTCTCATGATTACTCTCAACGTTTGGTACTAACACCATATTACTTTCTCTGTTTTGTTTTGTTCTGAAAAAAATGCAACTTTCTTCTCTAATTACGTTTGTAAATTTGTAATAGAAGATTATTCTGATGGAATTAAAGATTACTAGTGAATGGTTTGTGTTTTCATGTGTTAGTAATAGAGCTTCATGCATTTTGAAATGAAAACTTTGTGTTTTACTGATTTGTTTAACTCTTAATATGATTCTCTCTTG